CTCCCTTATGTCCCAGAGATGAAGACTGTGGCATATGCACACCCGAACTTAATTAAAACACCCTCCAATTTTCTTTCATTCTGTAGCCAACAATCCAGCTCATTTGCAGTCCTCTAACCCCTAACTGCTCAAAAGAGACATTATAGAAACTCTTAGGATAACTCACACTTACTTTCTGTTTACAGAGAGGGAAAAACAGTCGAGAGCTAGGATTGTCTAAAAGCCAAGTCCTGCAAGATTTGTGAAAGGAGCCTGCTAGATGCACCTCCCGAGGAAACTGAGGGTGCTTATGTGGCTGGGCAGGGGAGAGTGTTCAGCCTTCCCAGCATGTGCGGGGTGGCTGAAGGCTCCGAGAAGTTAGGCTGTAGAACCCAAGGGAAAAATGCATTCCAAGGTCTTTGCAACGGTCCTGGACCCTGGATGGCCCTGGGCATGATCTGCCAACCCTGAGCACGGATGGAAAGCAGACAAAACCAAAGTGGGAACCTGAGCTTGGATAAGTCTTTAAAAGTCACCCAGTTCTAACTCACCATTTATAGAGGGAAAAGGAAAGCCAAATAGGATAAGTTGCTTGCCCAACTCTTGTGTGGAGAACTAGAAGCAGAACAAGACTAGAATTCAGAACTCTCATCACTAAGGTAGTGAGAGCAAGAACAGTAACAACACACTTTCTAAGCTTACCACGTGCCCGGCCGCCTCATATGATTTTTTTTAATCCTCACAATCACAAAATATGAGGCAAGTAAAAGTACAAGTGTTCTTCAAAAAGTTTGTGGAAAAATAAAACTAAAAAGTAATACAAATCTTTCCATGCACTTTTTGGAAGTATCCTTGTACAATCCCAAAGGAATGACACCGAGGCCCGGGGAGAAGTGAATCACCCATAGCCAAACTGATTTCAAGTGGGATCTGAACTTGGCCCTATTCCAGAGAGCTTTCCCCTGCTGCTCAGAGTTTCATTTGAACAAATTAAAGGGAGTGGTGGCTGTTTAGGTTCTTGGGGAGATGTAGATTCCAGCGAGAGACTGCGCCCTTGAGTGTCAGCAGCCCCTAAGCTTCAGTAGTACACTGTTTACAAAAGTGGCTGCAAGTGCTCCCCTTCCTGGATCTGCGCCCTGTGCAGTGTGGTTTAGTAGCAACTCCCTTTAGGAAGCAGAGTCTACTTTCCTATTCCCAGAATCAGGGCTGGCCTCGACTTAACTGACTGCAATGGAAGTGACATAGTGCCAGTTCTGAGCTCAGGCCTTGAAGAGCCTTGCCTGCTTCTACTTGCTTCTTTGGAACCCAGCCAGCTGCCATGTGAATAAGCCCAGGCTAGCCTGAGGGAGAATAGTGCCAGTTCTGAGCTCAGGCCTTGAAGAGCCTTGCCTGCTTCGACTTGCTTCTTTGGAACCCAGCCAGCTGCCATGTGAATAAGCCCAGGCTAGCCTGAGGGAGATGACAGACCATGTGGATCACAGCCAAAGGTCCCAGAGATGTCAGCAAGTCCAGCCCAAACCAGCCATGCCTGGGCCAGGTCAGCACAACCACCCTACCCACCTGTGTCCTAAGCAATGATAAATGGTGACTGTTGTTTTCAGCCACTAAGTCTCGGGGTGGTTTGTTATGCAGCAAAAACTCACTGATACAGCACTCAAACCCCAAGTCACACACTTGGTAAGGCTGCACCCCTCAGCCTTGCTCCCTAGGTCAGGGATACTCCTTTTGAAACACAGAAAACTTGGAGTGCTGATCCAGGGCTCAGTGGGAGACCAGAGTAACAGGGACAGATGGCTCTTCCAGTTTGCGCCAGAGTGGTAATGCTCCAGATGTGGCCATTCCCACCTCCCCTGCAGACCCCTGACAATCCATGCAGCCCTTGATACCCTGGAGAACTAGCCACTCATGCCCTTTCCTGTCCATGTTCAGGGATCTGTGGGAGGGCAGTTGGCAATGGGCAGCACACATGTCTGGGAGGCACAGGCTACCAAGGAATTGTCCTGTTCACGCATTTCCACGCAATGAACGGCAGGGGGCAACTCACCGAGGGCACAGGCAAGCTGCCGTGCCGGCTGAGAAAGGAGTTAGAGACGGACACACTGATGCCCTGAGTGGCACTGCCGTCCTCGGGGGTGAAGGCCACTTTAGTTTGCTGGACACAGTAGGAGACAGAGGAGAAGGAAGAAGCAGCATAGGAGGCCTGCTGGACAGAAGGGACAAGAGAGAAGCGGGGAAGGAGGGAGAAAAGGCAGAGAACAATCAGGCATGTGCAGGGAAAGGTTAAGGAGGCTGCTGCCTAACTCGGCTCAGGGACATTCTGGAGAGGGATCAAAAATACCTACCCAAGCCTACTGGAAAGAGAGGGTACCCTCCTTTACTTCCTTATGAGATTTAAGTTGACTTTCATACCAACGGTGCCCACTGGAGGCAGGCCAGACAGAAGGAGGCCATGTGGGCAGGCCTCATGGAGCTGGGTGACTTGGGCCCTGAGCTGCTCCTCTGTGTGAGTACACCCATGTGGCTTATCACACTGCATCAGAGCTCAGACTGGGTTCGTGCTGCCTGGGTTTGAATCTGGACCCTGCTGTTTATCACCTGTCTGGCTATGGACGTTACTTAAAGATCTCTGTGCCTCAGTCTTCTCATCTGCAAAATGGGGATAACGCTGGTGCCCCGTGTGGGTCTGTCAGGAGGATTAAATAAACTGATGTGTATACAGCACCTGCAATCATGCCTACTACACTGTACGTGGGCCAACAGGCATGAGTAACTATTATTTCCATTTTTGTCTGTAAATATGGGTAATGCCTCCCACATCTGCAAGCAAGGAGGGTGTGGCCGGCAGACAGAATAGCCTGTCTCATGGTACACCTGGGCTCTGTTCTCAGATCTACTTCTCCCTGTGGGTTTGGAACAAGTCTCTCTGCCTCTTTCTGCCTCAGTTTACTTACAGTGGGGATGACAGGAGCTCTGGCGAGGGTCATGAGGAACCACAGGAAAGCTGCAGTGCTTACCTGGGAAGGTGTTCAAGAAGGCCCTTCCTAACAGGCCCCTTACTACTGGCCTGCCAGCTTGGTGTGAGGGGCCAGAGTGCTCCCTTGGAGCAGGTTCTGATTCCACATGCTCATTACGGATCTATCTCCAAATATTCAGAGGCCTGTGGACTGCACAGTATGGAGAAGATGCCCAAGGACAGCCAACAGGCAACAGAAGACACCAGCAGGAGGGACTGAGAATATTTCAATCTCTCAAATGAAGCCTGGCTCCACAATGGTTTTAATCAAATATCTTTTTTTTTTTTTTTTTTAAAAAGATGACCGGTAAGGGGATCTTAACCCTTGACTTGGTGTTGTCAGCATCACGCTCAGCCAATGAGCGAACCGGCCATCCCTATATGGGATCCGAACCCATGGCCTTGGTGTTATCAGCACCGCACTCTCCCGAGCGAGCCACGGGCCGGCCCCCTTAATCAAATATCTTAAGATAAAGGTCCCTAGGCCAAATATTTATGTTTCCATGGTGAAATTCCCTTTTCGAAACATCTTTGGAGCAATTTATTTATTTTATTTATTTATTTATTTTTTAAAAAGATGACCGGTAAGGGGATCTTAACCCTTGACTTGGTGTTGTCAGCACCACGCTCAGCCAGTGAGCCAACCGGCCATCCCTATATGGGATCCGAACCCGTGGCCTTGGTGTTATCAGCACCGCACTCTCCAGAGTGAGCCACAGGGCTGGCCCCATTTGGAGCAATTTAGATTCGTGTTCAGTGTTGTTGGAGTGGGCAGGACAGGTGAAGCACTGAAACCCTGAATACAGCACTGTGACATCACTAACCAGTGGTAGGACTGGAACCCAGGACTCCCAACTCCAAGCCCAGCCCTTCCTCTACTAGACAAAATTGCCTCCAAAGAGGCTGGTCATGGTCTCAAGAGGAAACAAAACAGCTTGCCTGGTCAGCTGGAGCCCACTGATTGTGGAGAGTCATGGGGACTCCTGGGACCAGGCTGAGCCCCAGGCGGCTGCAAGGAGTAATCAAAGGGCATATGTCCTCCAGCTGGCAGCCACCTCCTGGAAAAGGCAGGGCAGCACCTTCACATCTTCCCGTGATGGATACAAGATGGCCCAGCTAGCCACACCGGTCCCCTCTCTTGTTTGAAAGCTACTGGACCAGCCAGCATGAGGACACAGCACACGCAGCTCAACACTCAGAAATCCCCTTCTGGGCGTGTCCTTCCTGGAGGGCGTGGCTGGACCAGAGGCTCCGATTCTAGCACCTGACTGGAGCCACTGGGTTCTTCAACTGGCAGCAAAGAGAAACAGGCTGGAGGTGCACAGCAGGCACACCAACCTGCCTGCTGGCTTGATGCCCAGTGAGCCCCAGTGCCTTGCTGGCTGCCCTCAGTGGGACAGCCACCTCCTGTGCTGCCTGAGCTTCATCATGCACATGGGAGACCTCCGCACCAGAGTTGGGGTTGTAAAGGAGGAAGCGTGCGTGTCTGAAACACAATGGCTCTGTTTAAAGCCATCTTGCTTCAGTGGAACTTGTTTTCATCGGGCCCTCCCTGGCTGAGGCTGGGATGCAAGTCACTCTACACAGTCAGGCCCATTATGTACATTGAATCCCCAGATGGTCACACATAGATGATGCCCTGTGGTCTGATTGAGTCCCTCCTTTCTGGGAGGTCTATGTTGGAGCCAAAGAAGAAAGAAAAACTGCAAGAGACCATCAGCAGAGAAAGCAAACACTCTGAGCACAACACTGTCCCAGCTGCATGGGGCTGCTCTGGAAGAGAGAGGCCCCACTGCCCCCTGGGCTGGAGACAGTGGGGGGGGGGGGGACAGGAGGAAGTGAAAGCACCTATGTGTTCAGCACCCAAGCCTAGGGCCCTAACATGGACAAGAAGAGAGTTAAACTGCCCCCCGGAGAGGATGGTTTTGGTTCCTAGAGGCCTGTTAGGATGGGAAGTCCTGGGCACCAATGGCAATGGCAAGGACGTAAGGCTGGGGGTGCCACTTACCAGCTGCCGCTGCTTGGGAGGGAGGGCGGGTGGAGGGGCCAGCTCCTGCGAGGAGTCCGCTCCGCTGAAGGAGTCATTGAAGCCGTACACCTCCATGAGGAGCTTGTTTTTCTGCTGGTAGATGTGCTCGTTCTGCGGTGTCTGGTAGAACACGGAGGGCTGTGGCTCTGAGTAGTCCTCGAGCAGCTGCATGTAGGCCAGCACTGTGGGACAGAGGGTGCGGGGTGAGCTGATGCAGGTGGGGCTGCTGCACAAGAGAACCCGCACCCCCTCCTCCTCACAGCAGCTGGGTGACTTCCACCCAAAGCGCACTGAGGAGGGTGAACAGTGGAGCACGGAGGGTTTTCAGGGCAGTGAGACTACTCCACAGGATAGCACACAGTGGATACACGTCATTACACATGCATGCAAACCCACAGGATATACACTACTAAGGGTGAGCCCTCATGTGAACTGCTGACTTTGGGTGATAATGACATGTCAATGTGGGTTCATCAACTGTAACAGATGCACCACTCTGGTGGCAGATGTTGATCATGGGGGAGGCTGTGCGTGTAGGGGGGCGAAGGGTAAATGGGAAATTCCTGTACTTCCCAAAGTTCCTGTGAATCTAAAACTGCTCTAAAAAATGAATGCTATTTATAAAAAATCATAATTAGGCACTTCCCTCCCTTGCTGAAAAGCCCTCGGGGTTTCCAGCACACTATGGGTCACCCCCCCCACGTAGGGCTCATGACAGCCACACCCATCCCAGCACCTCTGACCCAGCTCCAGACACACTGTCTTCTTCCAGCCCATGGAACACCCTTTGGGATTTTTGCACATTCTGTTCCCAACTAACTTTTGCTTAGAACTCATCAGCCTTCGTCTCAGCTCCAGTTTGAGTCCTTCTTAGTTCTTCCCAGCTTGCACCTAGGTCTCCTCATCCATCCGATTTTTACTATGTACCTACTATGTGTCTTAGGCACTGACCCAGTGTTGGGCCTAAACCAGGGCCTTATGGAGCAAGTGGGAGTCCTCCGGGAGGACTTTCTGCGTCAGGGAGACAGAACATAGACAAGCATACAGTGTGATGTGTCTTAGGCACTGACCCAGTGTTGGGCCTAAACCAGGGCCTTATGGAGCAAGTAGGAGTCCTCCGGGAGGACTTTCTGCGTCAGGGAGACAGAACATAGACAAGCATACAGTGTGACAACAGGGGAAACGGGTGCTGAGAGTGCTATTCTAGAATCTGGAAGAGCTGTGAAGCCGAAGAGGAGCCTTCCACACTGAGGCTATGGGCAATGTCAAGTCCCAAGGCCAGAAGGGGGACCAGTAGGCAGAACATATGACAAGGGACAGCAAAAGGAGGCTTGGCTCATTCACCTGTGAGGTCGTGTGGGGCTGTGTCGTCAAGACAGGGCAGCAGCTTTATTCTGAACATGGTGGGACCCACTGAAGGACCCACTCCAGGCGTCAAGTCCCAAGGCCAGGAGGGGGACCAGTAGGCAGAACATATGACAAGGGACAGCAAAAGGAGGCTTGGCTCATTCACCTGTGAGGTCGTGTGGGGCTGTGTCATCAAGACAGGGCAGCAGCTTTATTCTGAACATGGTGGGACCCACTGAAGGACCCACTCCAG